AGACCCCTGTTTTTTAGCATTTTTAGTAACTTGTAAGAGTTCCTAATTGTTGGGGGTTTCCTTCGGAGGAAGGTTGCCCATGGGGTTGTGGGGTGGATATCTTTCAGGGATATACCTTTCATATTTAGATTGAGGTCCCCTCCTAGGATTGCTTCCCCTTCAGAGAAGGAGAAGAATTTGTTTAGTGTCTTCTGGAAGAATTCTAATTGTTTCATGTTTGGGGCATATATGGAGCCGATTGTCAGTTTGATTTTGCCATCAAGTGTCCCTTTAGCGAAAATGAATCTGCCTTTTTTGTCCTTGAGGACTGTTGTGGCAGTGAAGTTCAGGTCTCTACTGAGTATTATGGCTACACCGCGAGCTTTCCCTGAGCCTTGTGCGACCCACTGTTGACTGAAGCGGGGGTCGCTCAGGAGTTTGCTGCCTTTGGGTGGGTTGTGTATTTCTTGTAGGAAGGTGATGTGTGGTTTCATGGTGTTTATGTATGAGGTGATGCGTTTTCTTTTGATGGGGTTTCCCCAGCCCCCTCACATTTAATGTGATTGCTTTTAGGTTAGCCATCTTGCTTATCTATTATGTGGGGCGATTCCCTGCCAACCCGTTTGGGTTGTCTTGTGTCTCTCTCTTCGTGTTGTTTAAAGAACCAGTGAGGTTGCGCTGACCTAGGGTGTGGTGGGTGGGGGGCTAATGGGATTAGAGTAAGATTTGGGTTAAAGAGTAGGGGGTAAGTTGTAGAGAGTTTCCTATATGTAGTCATATAGGTGTTTGTTTGGGGTATTTTAGACCATCTGGCATTTAGCCAGTTGGTCCTAGGTCTCAGCTGGTGTGGAAGGCCGTGTTCAAGGACAGGCCATCCCCCCTGTTGTTTGCGATAGGGGGTGATCAGCGAGACAGTGTGAAGTGACTTTGTAGTGTCGCTGTCAGGTATAAGGTTCATAAGCAATGTTGCCAGTGTTATGAGCAACATTGTTGGTGTGTTGGGGTGGGGATGTGGGTGTTGGTACGCTCTGGTGCCACCATAGTGCTGGTTGGGTATCAGATTTTAGCCTGATTGTGGGTTGTGTTATTAAGGTTGGAGGATTTGTTTTTCCCTAGTATGGAGTATGGGGGTGTTGAAGGTGTGGGTGATGGGGAATGTGGTTGAGGTCGTCTGGACTGGTGTTGGGGTGGGGATTTCTGTGGGGGTGCGGGGTTGGGGGGGATGCTGATGGTGTTAACTAAATCTATGTTTTGGGGGGAGAGGGGAAAGGGGGGGGGAAATCACCAGTCCTTCAGTTTGTGGTTTTTTCCTGGTTTCTTCATTCAGCTGCGGTTGTTGTTGTTGTAGGGTTGTCCATCTGCGATGAATTGGTTTGGTTAATCTTGGTCTGGTTTCTTGTGTCGTATGGTCGGCGGGACGGTTCTGAGCATGATGCTTGCCTGTATTGGTTTGCGTTGTTGCGCCGCTTCTGTTGTATCTTTTTCTTCTGTACCGTTGTCCAGTTGTTTGCTGTTGTTTCCTCGTGGTTGGGGCTGTCACTTGGTGGGTTTGTCGGTTGCCATTCTGGTGGGAGGTCGAGTTCAAGGTTCTTTAGTAGTTGCAGGGCCTCAGGTATGTTGGTAGCCATGTGTTGTGTTGTGTTGGTTGTTACAATGAGGCGGAAGGGGAAGCCCCATCGGTATTTGATCCCTGCTTGTTGGAGACGCTGGGTGCATGGGCGCAGGCTTTTCCTCTGGTTTAGGGTATCCTGAGATAGGTCCTGTAAGGCCAGAATGGGGGTTTCTCCATATCGAAGGTTGCTTGAGTTTCTGAGTTGGTGCCATATCTCCTCCTTCTTTTTGTAGCGTGTGAAGCATACAATGATGTCTCTTGGGGGGGCGCTGGGTTTTGGCATAGGTTTTAGGGCTCTGTGAGCCCTCTCCAAGTCATCTGCCTCAAGTTTCAGGCTTGGGATTGTGTTTTTCAGCCAGCGTATAATTAGGTCTGCTGGGCTTTTCTCCTCTGTTTTTTCAGGAAAGTTGCGGAAGCGGATGTTACAACGTCTGTTGCGGTCTTCAAGGTCCGCTTGCTTAATTTTCATCTCTCTGTGTTCTGCTTCCATTTGGTTTACCAGTTCGTCCAGTTTCTTGTTCACACGTGCATTCTCCTCCCGGTATTGCTCTATTATTCTTTCTTGCATTTGGTTCTTGTTCTCTAGAGCTTCCACTTTGGAGGTTAGATTGTTGATTAGTACCTGCATGGGAGCCATTGTGGCCTTCAGTGTTTCTTCTAATCTTGCTTCCATTTCCCTCAGATCTCGTTTCGTTATTGGGTGGTCATCATCTTGAAGGGGAGTTACCATCTTAGCATTGTTTGCCATCTCCCTGGTTGGTGTCATCTCGGTCTCCCTGATGGTTTTGGTTTGAGGTTGGCTTGGCGTCCTCTTGGGGTTGGGCGTGTGGTGGTTAGGAGTTGTGGCAGTGGTGATTCCTGGGTATTGTTGGGTTGCTGAGCTGATCAGGCTTTGTTGGCTGGTGGCTTTTACAGAGCGTTTGGGTTAGGTGGTCATTTGTGTCACTTCTAGCCTGTGTTTTAAGAACTTCTCTAGGGCTTCTGTAGATGCCTCAGCGGTGCCGCCGAGGCGGGGGGGGGCAGGTAAGCAGAGATGGGTATACTAACGGACAGACAGTTCATATAAAGGGAGGGGGGTTAGCAGGTAGAGATGCAAGAGATTAGAGGGGTGGGGCCAGGGGAAATATGTGTTTAGGAGGGGGTTGTATATGCCCAAAAGGGGTATTGGGGTCCAGTTAAGGTGGAAGTTGGGGTTGGGAGTGCACTCAGAAACAGAGGCAGACAAATAGGGTATATGTAAAGGGTGGAGGGGGGAAAGGGAAGAAAAGAAGAAAGAAAGAAAAAAGGGGGAGGCGGGGGGAGAGAGGAGATTGGAGTAAAAGAGAAGAGAGAGAGAGAGAGAGAGAGAGAGAGAGAGAGAGAAGAGAGAGGAGAGAAAGTACAGTAATATCAGCGGTATTAGAATGCAGCAGTAGTTTTAGCTATAGTATGAGGGGGGCAAATTATGATAGGGTGATATGAATGTGTGTATGCGTTTCCTTTAGGGGAAGGGGGGGATGGAGAGAGGGAGGAGGGAGAGAAAAGGAGAGGAGGAAGGGGAAGGGTGGGAAAAGGAAGGAGGAGAAAAGAGAGGGGGAGAGGGTGAGCTGCTGCAATGGTATGGGGGGGGAGAGTCTTATTTTAAAAGAGGGGGTGGGGGGGAAAGGGCTCCCTTCTCAAAAACAAACTGATGAACAGGCTAAAAAGGGGGGGTTGATTTTAAAAAATAAAAGGGATAGAAAACAAAATTGGGGATGGAAAATGAAAGGTGGAATAAAGGGGAAAAATGAGGAGGGGTGAAGAGAGAGATGGGAGAGAAAAATAAAAAAGGGGGAAGTTGAGGGGGAGAGTATCAATAGCAATAGCAGTGATATGGAGGAAATTTTTGTTTTAAAAGAGAGTGGTGGTCGTAGCTGGGGGCGAAAGATTCCCCCTTCAAGAACAAACCAACAAGAGCTTTAAAAAGAGAAAGAGGGAAAGAAAAGAATAATAATTGTATGGTTTGGTTTTGTTTTTCCCCCCCAAATAATAATAATAATATTTCCCCCTAATTATTGTTATTATTTTTTGTTTGTAAAAAAGTAATTAAAAATGTACGGGTAAAAGATAAAAATGAGAATTAAAGGTAAAAAAGAAAAAAAAGAAAAAGGGGGTTGTCTTTAGATAGAGCTTTTTATTTTATTTTTTAAAAAAATGAGTAAAGTGTAGGTAAAAGAGGGTAGGTAAAAGAGGGTAGGTAAAAGAGAGTGGAAAGTCTGGGGCGAAGTGGCAGTCCCAGGAAATGGCCTGTGATGGTTCAGGGTTGTTTTCTGGGTACTGCCATTTTAAATCTTAAGAGGGGAGTTTGAGGTGGAAATAAAATGAGGTTTAAATTGAGGGTGTGTGTGTGGAAAAGTGTGTCTTTAAGTAGTGTGTAGAAAAGATAGAAATAAATATAAAGATTCAAATAAAGGGTGGCTGCAGCAGCAGTGGCCCCTCTTTTAAAAGAAAAGTGGTAAAAGTAGGTATATGGGGGGGGAGGGATAAGAAAGATATATAGATATATATATATATTCTTTTTAAAGGGGGGAGGAAGGGGTTAAAAAAAGGGGGAGTTAAAAAGAAAAGAAAGGGGGAAAAGGGTAGTTTTTTTTTCTCCTTTGTTATGCAGCTTCTCTGTGTTTTCCTTGCCGCTGGAGCTCCCGGTAGGGCTCAGCCACGTGCGTTTTTTTCCCTTTTCTTCCCCGAAGCCTTCACCGTGCTCACCTACCTCTCCTCTGCTTTCCTGTCGGCAGAGATGGGGGCAGCAACGGTAAATTTGGGGCTCCTTTTTCTTTCTTTCTTTTTCTTCCTCTCTCTCCCTTTCTTTCTCCCTCTTTGCATTAGCTCCACTGTCCTCCTGGTTTTGGAGCTCCTCTCGGCTGTTGGGGGGGGGTCGGGTGCCTTTCCGGCTCAATCAAGGTCGTGGGGGGGTGTTTTGGCTCCTTTGATAGATGCCCGGGCACCCCAATTCCTCTCCGTTGGCGTGGCTGGCAGCAGCAGTCCTGGGGGGTCCGGGAATCGGTCGCCAGAGCCTTTTACTCTGGCTGGCTTCAGGAGCTCTTTTCTTCTACTGCTGCCGCCATGCTGCCTCGCCGGAAGTCCATGGTGTAATCCTTGTTATGGTGTACTGCTTGTCTGCATGCACATATGCTCTCTTTATTACACAGAGTGAGAGAACCTCTTCTTCTTACAGTACTATTCTTTAGTATACCTGTTTTTCAGTGTACAAAATTTAGTACTTTGATAATGGATTATCATTCATAAAACTTTTGGAGGTGGAATTTGCATCTGGACAGCTCATTTTTGTGGCCATCCAATTCTACTGCTGACCCTGGAGAGTTTTCTGATGAAGTCACCAAATAAAACATCACCCCCTCATTTCAAATATGCCACTCCGATTAGCTGTTTCCTACCAGACAGCAACATACAGTAAGATGCTTACTGCAAAGTCAATTAGCATTAAAAAGTAAATACCTTCTGTTTTCATACTGTGTGATACCGATCGAAAAGTTGCCTTTTTTTTTGCTGGAAAGGAAACAAGGCTATGTCAGTTGCGGCCTACACAGTATATTGACAAGTGTGCTGGAGGACCAGACATGATATAGTTTAAAAGAAACAAAGGCTTCCTCATTACACCAATCTGCTTGTAGATTTTTATAGTGTAGAACCAGTATTTACTGGATTTGTGAAGCACCTACTGTAGTTTCAGAAGACTGCAATAATCACTTCTATGGGGTTTGGTTTGGGAACTGCATACCTTCATTCTAAGTAGTAATGTGTCGCCTAGGCATACACACACATGGATATATGGGCAATTGAGCATGTTTTGGCTTTCCTTCTTTCCCTGAAGATGGAAGGCATTTATGTGCTCTCACAAGAAATGTCTGTATTGTAATAATGTCCACAGCAGAATGAAATAACTATTGGGGTGGATTAACGTGATGACATTAATTAAAAATAATAAATATGAAGATGAGGGGAGTTCAATGTGGCAGAATATTAGGAGCACTGGTCAAATAGTTTTAAGACCACCAGCTGTGAAGCTTGTGGATTCAATAAATCTATTGCATTTCAGTGGCCATAGGAGACCCACACCATTCCAATCGAAGATGGCTTCCATATTTTTAAAGCATGAATTGTATGATAGGGTCTAAGTTCACACCAACATTCAAAGGTCCACTCTTAAAACAGTCACCATTTAGAAGAAGAAATGGAATTTTTGTCTTTGGCACTAACATACTAATTTATAATAGTAGTTACAAAGTGGCTCAATTCTTGACGTGTGCAGGCTCCTGGAGCAGAGATTGCTGCTGTTCTGCTCTTCCTTCCTGCTGCTGCTATGTTGCAGCAAGATGAAGACATGGTTTGTCTTGTCATATTGCCTGAATCCAGGCATAAGCCATGTCTCCTCCAGATAAACACAAGATGTAAACGAAGAACAAACCTTCATTACAGCTCCTGGTTTGTCTGTAGCCAGACATTTCAATAACCTAGACTGCGATGGCACATTCAGCCAAACCACTGTTTAACTCACAGCAGCACAGCAGTACAATGACTGAAGAAGGAGCAAAGGGGCCATTGTCTCTTCTTTGGTACCTTGTACTCGTGCTAAGCTGTTATTTGGCTTAGCAGTACCAGATCAGTGTGTGTAACCAGTGAATTGTCCAGGTACAGGTACAGGTGAAGAAGAATTACACATAGTCTAAAACGTGGGGAGGCAGTTGCCCCTCTCATTCTATGAAAGGGACCCTGGTCATCCTAATGAATCAGAAAAGGCTGGGGAAAATCTTTGACTTGAAACTGCACTAACCTTTAGCATCTGGGGAAAGCTTTTGATGGATAACTGTAGCCTTGAATGTGTCTGCACCAATTTTCAAACAATATCCTTCTTCACAGCCCATATACAGATCAGAGATTTGAGTCCAGCAGTGGGAAGTAGGGTGAACATAAGGTTGAATGTCATCTTTAGGCTTCAATTAAAAAAAAATTCAGTTACTAAAACAAATAGTACTAAAAAATAAATTACTCATTCAGTGCTGACTGGCATTGATTGCAGTTATCTACTTTTCACAGGGAAAATTGCTGAGTGTTTTGTAAAACGTTGTGCTGTCCTGTATCAATGATATTTCAATAGATATCTTGACCACAAGTAGTTATATCCATAGCAGAACTCACCTTAAATGTTTCTGCTTCATCTCCTACCAAGCCAGCAATGGCTGAATTGGGCAGAATAGGGCCAAAGTAAGGATCATTGTCCATGGGATGGGAGAAGAAGCTGTTTTGCTCATCTGCTAAAGTTCCATCTTCAGCAGGAAGCCTAACTGACCTGAAGCAATGAGAAAAATGGCACAGAAGAAGCATATCTGGAAAATTCATGCGGGACTGCAACAAACTGTTGAAGTCATGCTCCCCAGGATACCCTATTCAGCTTTTTCTTCTCCACCTCCAACAGCAATCTGTAGTCACTGTGCATGCTTAGTTCTCATTAGGCTATTTCGAGTTTCTTAAGACTCCCTTATTCCCCCCCCCCATATATTTTTTGTACTTCTGGGTTTCCCCCCAAGCCTGTTGATTAAGGTGTCATCTGTTCTTGCACACTCATCTACTTCTGTGCAGCGGCTGTTAGGGTATGTGTTCACATTTCTGCTTACTCCACATCCAATTATCTAATCAGACTGAAGCTGATTTAAGGAATAAAAAAATAATAATACAGCAGTATTGGTCAAGAAACTACAAGACTAATATGCGGTGGCGGAGGGATCCTGTGGCCTCTGTACAGAGCTTGAGCAATGCCATGCGTGCGCCGTCTGTATGGCGCACACGCCCACAGGTGGTTTGCTGACAGCACTGCTTGAGCATTGTACGGACGGCGGTGGAGGGTGTAGCCACGAGCGAAGGATCCTCTGCATGTGGCTGGGGCGGTGTGATGGTGGCAGGGCGAGCCCCCCATGGAGTGCCTTCTTGTCACCCCCTCAAAGGTGGCACCCAGGGTGCTCCACCCTCCCCACTTCCTCCACCACTGCTAATATGGACTGTGGCTTATGTCATGTGAATGCAGCTTCAAAAATGAGTAGTAGGAGCACATTGGATACACAGTAAGCATAATGTGAACATATGCCTGAGGACTGGCACTCAATCCAAAGCATCACTAATGAAGTCCAGGGGCATAGTCTGAAGGCACATGAAGCTGCCACCTTGTGGAAGCAAAGCAAGTCTGAGTCACTTCAGGACTTGGATCGGTGACCAACTGGGAACCACATGTACACTGTGTTGGGTTCCATGATGGAAGACTGGGAGAGTGGGGGCAGGATATAAATGTAAGAAAACAAACAGAAAATGAGTTAATAATTGGAAAATTTCCTTTTAAAGACAAGGAACCACGAGGGCTATTCCATATTTCTAAAATACGTTTTTCTAAAATGCAAAGGACAGAACATGTTTATTTTGCCCAAGAGACATGGATTAGGCACCTGATATACATAGCAACTCTTTAATCTGTAGACCATCACCTGAAAGCATGCTTTACCATTCATCAGCTGCAAAAACGCTCTTTATCTAGCACAAAAATTAATCTTAGTGTAAAATAAAAGTAACATTTGAAACATCTCTTTCTATTAACCTTACTTTGACTTCAAAATGTGCTCTTCATTATTCCGCTCAATGGTCCAAAGTGTAACAGAAGTCCCATTATATAAACACAATTGGTGCCAGCTCATGGGGTTAAAACTCATTGCGGTCACTTCTACTCCCATCTGTGACTGACTGCACAAAATAACTTTTTTGTTCCAGTCCCTAATCAAAAATGAAAGAACGCAAAAATATTAATTTTATTTTTTTGAATTATTATTTTTTGTAAATTTATATTCAGCCTCTCTATAACAGAAAACATAAAATCACACCATAGAACAAGAACCATAGAATCAGATAGAATGCCAGCAAAAGAGGATTAAGTGAAAACAATTAACAGTGCAATTATATGCATGTCTATTAGGAAGTACAGTGGTACCTTGGTTCTTGAACAGCTTGGCTCCCAAACTCTGCAAACCCGGAAGTAAGTGCTCCGGTTTGAGAACGTTTTTCAGAAGTCAAACTTCCGATGCGGCTTCCGCTTGAGTGCAGGAAGCTCCTGAAGTCAATCGGAAGCCGCGCCTTGGTTTTCGAACTTCAGGAGCCGAACAGACTCCCGGAACAGATTAAGTTCGAGAAACAAGGTACCACTCTAAGTCCCAATGAGTTCAATGGGGCTTGCTCCCAAATAAGTAGGGATAGAATTGTAGCCTAAAATGACAAGAAAGTGACTAACCAATCCCCCAAATGCTTGCTGAAACTAATGTGCTTTACATGTCTTTCTAAAACCTCAGGTGGCTGATATGCTACCTCAGACAACTTATTTCAGATGTAGGGGTGGTGGGGACTATGGAAGACTATGGAAACCAGCAGTATTTACTGATTGTGGAGAATGAGGTATCATTTGGAACTTTTTTCAAATGAATCTAACTTGTGCACAGTGAATTTAACTTGTGGTTTTCAGCAAAAGCGTGGTCACTTGAACAAAGTGTTTTGAAAGTCAGAGTACTTTTTAAGGCCATAGGCTCACTGCCTGCATCTGTTTGCATGAATGGATGTTTGTGAGTTTGTCTGTACAGGCAACTCCCCATGTGCATGGGGGTTGCATTCCAAGGCACCACGCATGTCAGCGGGACACATATAAGTCCACGCTGCGCCCTTGAGGCGCTAAAAATGGCACACATGTCAGCAGTTGCACATGTGCCAATCACGTGCAAATGGTGAGTTGCCTGTATTATGCAAAAATGAAGACATTCCTATTTCTGACAGGTGTTAAATTAGCTACAGACAGCAAAGGATCTATTAGTAAGTAATATGAATTATTAAGTAGCTAATATTATGATATGATATAATATAATATAATATAATAATACAATACAATACAATACAATAATACAATACAATACAATACAATACAATATAAACAATCTATCCATATTGTAAGCTTACCATATTGTAAGGGTAAAGTCTGGGATTGAGGAGTAACTGGCCAGGTAAGGACCTGTGTAACTGAATGCAAGCAAGGTGTAGTCCAGGCTGGCTTGTCCTAAAACATAAAATAGCATGGATTTAGGAGCTCTGCAGCTTCATGCTGTCGTGCTATTTCCTGTCATACCATACCATATCATAGGGCTTTGTCTTGCCAACATAGGAGGGTCTAATTTTCTTTCACTAGAGTGTTATAGTAAACACTATGTACAAATCTGTACAACCCTGGCAGTTTTGCTTAATTCATTTGAATAGATTGATATTCTGAGGTGTGTGTGTGCGCGCGCGTGCCAGACCCCTCTAATCCTTGGATTTATCAAGTGTTAAATGCTAGTCATGCCAAGATAGCTACCTGTTGAGGTGATGGGGAGATTGCATATGTTCCTCTCTCACCCTCTCTTTAATCAAATGTAACTGGTCTCCAACTTGCTCTATTTTTAATGAAATTATACATCACAAAACTAGTCTCTGCAGATCTCATATTGACTAGATTCGTGGGCTTTTTTGTATTTTATCTTCATCCCACTGCATGAATATCATGCAATAACATTCCAAGGTCTCTTTTATGCAACCTTTCTTTTTTTGAGAGGCTGCACTTATTAATGCTTTTAAAGCCCCATGAAAAGGTTATTCTATACAAGCTCAAGATCTGCACAATTTCTAAGAAATAAGGCAACACACAAATGTAAATATTCATGTGCTACTTGGTTGATCTCTGAACATTTTAATACTATAAAATTATATGCATCAAGTATAATATCATAACAGTATATGTATAATTTGCTACCACAGTATGCAGTAGTAGTCTCCAAGTGGGATGAGAATGAGATAAATTCATGGAATACAGTGGTGCCTCGCAAGACGAAAATAATCCGTTCCGCGAGTCTCTTCATCTTGCAGTTTTTTCGTCTTGTGAAGCACGGCTATTAGCAGCTTAGCGCTATTAGCGGTTTAGCGACTATTAAAGGCTTAGCGGCTAAAAGGCTATTAGCGGCTTAGAAAAGGGGGGGGAGCGGGAAAAAATCACAAGACTCACAAGACGTTTTCGTCTTGCGAAGCAAGCCCATAGGGAAAATCGTCTTGCGAAGCAACTCAAAAACGGAAAACCCTTTCGTCTAGCGGGTTTTTCATCTCGCGAGGCATTCGTCTTGCGGGGCACCACTGTATATCAATTGCTACTAGTCATATGGCCTTCAGGTTCCCACGCTATTGCACTCATGTACAGCTTGCAGACTTCTCAGAGACATATCAATGGCCATTGTAATAAGAGAATGCTGGATTATATAGACCAGGGGTCAGCTTGGGCTGGATCGGTCCTGTGGAGATCCCTCTGTGGGCAGGATTGCATGTGTGCCTGCGATTTTTGGAGTCTGTGTGCACGAGCCCGTGGTTTTTGGCATCTGCACGCACGCAGACGTGGTTTCCAGCGCCGTCGAAGCGAGTCCCCACGTCGCACTTCGCTGGTTTAGCGCAGCGCGCAAGCAGGCAGCTTGGTTCGGGGGCGACTCATGGGCCAAACAACCTCCATGGCCTGCTTCCGGCCCATAGGCCTTAGGTTGCTGATCCCTGCTATAGACTGTTGGTCTGATCTAGCACAACTCTTATGCCTTCCCCACACCAAATTCTAAAAACCATTTCAAGATGGTTTCGATTAACCATCAGACCCACCTTTTAATTTGGCCTGTCTCTTTAGTCCTGGATAACTGTGGATGTGAATCACAGGTTTCAGTTGCCTGTCAGAATAAGCAACGACATTCTGGTTTGGGTTCACTGCAAAAGCTTCTATCTTTCCACTGTGACACCGCAAGATGGATCTCTCCAGTGTTTCAAGGTTAACAAATATTATGTAATTCCCACAAGGATAGCAGACAGTTCTTTTGGTGACAAAGCCAACATTCCTGTTGGTGAATCCTTGTACCCATCTTGAAGGGGTGGAGAAAGAAAGAAAGTTAGGATTATATGACATTTTAAAAGAAACAAAGAGTTTTGTTTTTTGCTAAATGGATAATGTGGCGTAAAACAAAGCTTCCACTGAGGAAAACCACTGTTGTTTGTGTTCACTAATTACATACACAACCTGCAACTAGAAAAAGATGTAACAGCACTTCCCCTCAGTTTAAATTGAATGAATGCAAATATAATTTATTTATGGTTCACCTACTGCAAACAAAAAGCTGCAGAATGGAAAATGCATCACAATATTTAAAGCGAAGAAAAACAGAAAGCAGTAATAGATTGTACAATATTTATAAATTTTGCAACTTACTTAGTAACTAAAAAAAAAAAAATAGACCCCTCCAATAAGAACATAAACAAAGACTCTGAAAATGGTCCTGGAAAGGACTGTGAAATGAGGTGAATCAGAGTTTATCTAAATCTTCACTTTAAAAGAACATGGGACACAGAAACCACCTCTTTGTTATTACCGTACTCTGGCAATATCTTGTTATTTACAGGAGTGTTGCTATTATCTGCCTTCATTCACTATACTGAATGAATGACAAGACAGATAGCTGGAATTACTTAGGACTTCAATAAATATATTTGCTTTGTTAGCATCATCATAATATCTTGAAGAATGAAAAGCAGATTACATACAGGGTGGAGGGAATGAAACCAGGCTTCCTTTGTCGTTATCAATACTAACATTTAAAAATCACAGAATATATTTTCACCTCTGGATTCAGATAGGGTAATAAAAGACTATCACACATTTGTTGGTGTCGTCCCGTCCCCCCCAAGGTCTAGCTAGCTTTCCTGCACCTACATTCCTGAAGAAAGGGACGTTAATGATGTGAAATCCAGAGGACTGACTAAAACTGAGGCACAAAGAAGTGTGCGCCACCCTGGGGGAAATAAAAGGCTTCGGGAAGGTGGGTGGGAAGTTTTGGGAGACAAGCTACGAGAGGGAAGGACGGGGTCTTATAGAGCAAATCCTCTGCATTATCGTCCGTTTAGGCATCAGCCCCATTGAGCTCAGCAGCACTCTCTTCCAAACAAGCGTGCATAGCGGCTTTCGCCAAGGTGGCGCCCGCAGACGCTTTGCACTACAACTCCCATCAGGCTCAGCCAGCGCGTGCAAGTCCAAGGCGTCCGGCGGGCGCCACCTTAGCGAAGGCGGCCGTACGAAGAGGGGAGAGGTTTCCTTGAGGAAGGGGTTTTTCGGACACAAGAAACACCAGGCAAGTCCCCGTCCCCCGCTCGCTCCCCTTCGCACCTCACTTCGAGATCAGCTTTGTGAGCGGAGCCTGGGCGGCGGCCGCCCGACTTCCCGCCGTCCATGCTACCCTCAGCTTCGCCAGAGAGCTGCCCGGAGCAGTTTGCACCCGTCTCCTAGCAACACCTGGCCGCTCCTGCCATTGGCTAAGACGGGCTTTCCGTTGCTGACTCGCCCTGCCCCGCTTGCCGTTTCAGGTCTCGTGTTCCGAGCGTGACTGACTCCTTCCGCGCGCTGGGAGGGCGGGGTTATATCCAAAGCCAACCTCTAAGAAGTCTCATAGCTGGATGACGTAGCGCTCTCTCTCTCTCTTCCTGCCCCTCATGCTATGGGGGACCCATGGAGGTCGGCTCCCACGTTGTGGAATTTACTGCCCAGGAAACATGCATGAGATGAGACGACGGAACCGGGAACATTTTTTTAAAAACAAATTATTTTCATCTTTAAAATATCCAGGCTGCCCTCCTACACACAACTGAGAGTCAGTCCTTTCGAAACTTAAGTGGGACTGACCTCTGAGTAAATATGTCTAGCTCTAATCATGTTTTATTCAAATTGTGTTTATTGTCATGCTAGTATAATCAAGCGACAATAAAAATGACAGATGTTCGGGTGCTTAAAAAACAATAACATTCTGGGGGCATTTTCACAAGTGAAGCTAATTATCTCAGTGAAGACCTTACTTGGAAAATAAATACAACCCAGGTGGTTAAGAAAGCTCAACAGAGACTCCATCTCCTCAGAGTGTTGCAGAAGAACGATGTCAATCAACATTTGATGATCTCCTTCTACCGCTCAGCAATAGAATGTGACCTTTCATACTGCATCACGGTGTGGTACACTGGTTTGACATCATCTGATAGGAAGTGCCTACAGAGAGTGATGAATACAGCACAAGATATTATGGGCTGTCCCGTGAATCCGCTGGATGAAATAGCGGAAGAACGTTGCCTCAGGAGAGAGAGGAAAATTCTCAGGGATGATTCACATCCTGGCCGGCACTTTCTTGATCTCCTGCTGCCGTCAGGCAGAAGATATAGAAGCTTGGTTAGTCGCACCAACAGGGTAAAGAACAGTTTCTATCCGTGGGGTGTTAGGCTACTGAATAAAAAGATAACAACAGGGCAACCGACTTTCGGGTGTGTGTCAGTAAACGAGAGGAATTAAGACCAAGAGAGCTGTGTGGGGGGTGCTCGTGTAATTTCGCTGTATACAGGTTGTACAAGTGATAATAAAGTATTTCAATTTCAATAATAATGTCTTTTAGTTTGGAATTTTAAACTTCTGAATGTTCTAACATTGAATAGATAAGGGAAGAGAACATTTAAAAGCAAACACTAGAGACTAGGTCCCTTCCGCAAGACATGCTTAAATTGGTGGTGACATTATTTTCGTTGGTGTGCTAAATTAAGTTCAGTTGAAGGGTTGTTATTTTTTATTCCCAGAATCTAATTTTAGGTCACCATATACTTTTGGGAGAGGAAAGGACAAATAAATCAAGCTCCTTTGAGACCAAATGCTTTCCAGTTCTACTATTTTAAACCTTCCTAGTTATACACCATGGGTAGGCAAACTAAGGCCCGAGGGCTGGATCTGGCCCAATCGCCTTCTAAATCTGGCCTGCTGATAGTCCAGGGATCAGCATGTTTTTACATGAGTAGAATGTGTCCTTTTATCTAAAATGCATCTCTGGGTTATTTGTGGAGCCTGCCTGGTGTTTTTACATGAGGAAAATGTGTGCTTTTATTTAAAATGCATCTATGGGTTATTTGTGGGGCATAGGAATTCATTCATTCTCCCCCCCCCCAATATAATCCGGTCCCCCACAAGGTCTGAGGGACAATGGAACGGCCCCTTGCTAAAAAAGTTTGCTGACCCCTGTTATACACTCTTGATATTGTATTCCTTCCTTGTGAAACTCTAGTACGTAGATACATGGCAGAGCTTTTTGTTCTCTTTCTCTTGTTATCATGGATTGTGCCAGGCACGCTAAGGCATGTGTTGCTGGGAGGAGCTGGAACGCCTTTTGTTTTATAAGGATAGTGCAGAGGTCTCTCCAATTACCCTCCTTTTCATTTGCTGCTGTGACAGGCTATAGGATACATTTAAAATACATCCCCGACCCTAGGAATCCTGGGAAAGACAGTTTACCCTTTAAAGTGCTACAATTTCCAGAACACTTAACAAATACAATTCACATGAGGTGGAGTTGCTTTAAATGTACTTTAACCATATGGCGTGTATGCAGCCAAACCAACAGAGCTGTAAGTAGCTCAGATAAGTCACACACTGGTAATAATGAGATTTAAAGTACATTTTAAGCACAAATTCATTCCCTCAAATAATTCTGGGCACTGTAGTTTATAAGAGTTTCTGGAACATGTAACCGAGGAGTAAACTACATTATCCAGAATTCTTTGAGGGCAAGAACATGTTTTGAATGTGTTTTAAAGATATATTATTACTTTACACTTATTAGGACTGAGCCCTAGGATTTCATTATTAAATGTGCAGTAGTCTTGCAATACCAAGGAAGACTGTTTCTAAATTGTTAGAAACAGGTTAGATTTCCTTTGCAACCTAATTCACAAATTAAAACAAGAAAAGCCACATTTTAAAAACTGCTGAAAATCACATGGAATGCTGGAAGATAAGATAGCAAAAAGCAAAACAAGAATAATGCACAGCTAGGATGACTGTGCATAAAAATACAGTGGTACCTTGGGTTACATACGCTTCAGGTTACAGACTCTGCTAACCCAAAAATAGTACCATGGGTTAAGAACTTTGCTTCAGGATGAGAACAGAAATCGTGCTCCGGCGGTGGCGCAGCAGCAGGAAGCCCCATTAGCTAAAGTGGTGCGTCAGGTTAAGAACAGTTTCAGGTTAAGAACGGACCTCTGGAACAAATTAAGTACTTAACCCGAGGTACCACTGGACAGAGTCACCATTGTTGTTGACGATTTGGCCACAGTGTTACAAGACTGTTTCTCAACTCTGGGTTACTAACTTTATAGGCTGATATTACAACAGGTAAAATTATCCTTTACATCTGGCCTCCCTGGTGGCAATCCTTTGGACTACTACTTCTCAGGAGGTATTAAAAGAACATGGTGAGCCCGATGTGCATGATTCAGTGTTTGCCTTTGCTATGCATGTATCACATGCATCCTTAGTATGTCAGGGACCTGTGGGCCCAGGAAGTACTCTGAGAAACTTTGTTTTTGAACGAGTCACTCCATTTTTGTCCTTGTTTCAAACTCCTTGCAAGTCCAGCCTGCTCCTGCCATGCTAGTTTTCTTCTTGTAGGGAGTTTTTAAAAAACAACCAACACAAACCACATAAAGAGCAGTCTGTGGGAAGAACCATGTGGTAGGAACAGCCCTAATATCCTGAGGTGCAAATTATTATTACTCCCATTTGGTTGCAGTGTATATGTACTTTCAGGGTGGAGTTGCTCTTTGCCCCAGTGCAGGGAACTTGAGTTGAGAATGTAAACCATTAGCTAAAGTGGTGTCTCAGGTTACGAACAGTTTCAGGTTAAGAATGGACCTCCGGAACGAATTAAGTACGTAACCAGAGGTACCACTGTATACATAATGTCTCTGTCTTCAGTTCATAGAGTCCTTTCCACAGGTCAGTTACATTTGGTGTGAGACACAACTTGGGGTTTCAATGAATATTGGGGACGAGAATCAAGTACTCCACTTTGAGTGCCTAGGAGAAACGGTGGGCTATGAATGCATAAATGAATAAAAAATATTGATTTCAGTGTAAGTGGAGGTAGGACTTTAGCTGAAGCGCCTTTAGGCTGGAAACCTAAAGCTGCACTGCTATCCATATCCACTCAGTGTTATGTCCAGGGCCGGATTTAGATTTGATGAGGCCCTCAGCTACTGGGGCCCTTTATATGTCCAGCTGTTCTTTGTCAACAACAAATTGTTGCTGGTTTTTTGTTGTTGAATACATGCTATATGGTAATTTATGGACCTAATAGGTATCTAAAGCCATTTGACACTGCTGTTGTATGTAGGTTTTATTTTATTTGTTTTTTTATCTTATATTTTGGAAATGTACATCCAGTGGTTTTTTCCCTTTAATTTTTTTGGGGGGGCCCCAAGAGAGTGGGGCCCTAAGCTATACATAGCTTGTTTAGCTTATACGTAAATCCAGCACTAGTATGTCCAGGCGCTTTCAAGTGCACAAGTTCTGAGGCGGCTTCTGTAACGGAATCGTCGCAGAATAACGAAGGGGGCGGAGTCGGTCGATCTTGGGATCAAGGGATGTGGGCGGAGACAGTCGGCCGACTCCGGGGAGGTTCCCTTTCTTCGGTGTCCATCACTTGCCTGCTGACTACACCAGGGAGAATGTCTGGGGAATTCGCTAGGAGCTTAGGAAAAGGTGAGAGGGTTTGCTTCTTTCCCAAAGCATTGCATGCTCTCTGCTTGCCTGTGCCTGTCCTTGTGGGGAGGATCGGGCCGCCTCTTTGCCTTCTGGCGCCCTTCCGACGCCCAGCAAATACTAAGTTTAGTGATTTTCCTCCATATTACGGCAAGGAAAGGAAGGGGTGAAATTTCCCCCTTCTCTGAGCCCGCTCGTTACCACCCCACCCGCTGATGTGTTTTAAAAATAAGAATAATAATGCAAAGCTGCGTTTATTTAACGCCACCCGATTTGCTGCGGCGCATTTTGTTCAAGAGGTACGTATACGAAGAGAGAGCGGGGAGGATTTCCTGGGACTATTTTTGAAATTATAACGTTTCAAAATGGACTCTTTCCTTGAAACTCTGTGTAAAGCAAATCTCCGAAGCAGCTCGCCACGAACTTCACTAAAAGCGACGTGCATTTTAAAAATAAACGCTCTTCAAAACAGTTTGCATGGCGGCGTGTCACTCCTCTAGTTTCCTCATTTAATTAAAAAAACACACACAACGGTCGTGAGCTCGCTTCTCTCCTCTGAGCTACGTCTGATGTGATATGCGCATTGGTGTTTGTGCACAGTACTGCATGTGAAAAATAGGATTGGCGTTGATGACTTCAGTTTGCCTCAGGTCACTTCCTCCACCTGCACTCTGGACAATTTGCACTGATAATTGTATTGGTATCATGACTGTTTAATTTGCACACCTTTTAAAGGTCTGTTCAGATGTTGGTGTCAGCTTCCTAAACCTCTTACCTAGCCGCTGCTGGTAATGAGCTAATTGAGGGTGCAGTGTAATACCAGAAGTGGGTTTTGTAGTAAGTAGCTACTTTCCCAGTTGACAAATTCTCCAGATGCATATTTTGCTAGACCCAGAA